AATATGTCACCTTTAGAATAAGTCTTTGTTATATAATAATTTCTATTTTGTGGCAATAAATACATTTTCATTTCATTTCATTTCATTTCATTTCATTTCAAAAGAGGTTTTTATTTTTTATATATTAAATAAGTAACAGGGTAGAGTATTTGATTAAAATTACGATAATCAATGTCCGTACCGATTAAGATGTTTGCAGATAAAAAAAACATCGTGTAACAACTACTGATATTGTGCAAGTTGTAAGATAAAATAAAACATTCGTGTATTAATTGATAAATTGACAAATTAAGAGCTGTCAAATCGAGCGCACATGCTGCGGCCATTTTGATAACAGATAATATATGCGTGATACTCTATAAAATATAATACGGTCCACTGCACGCAGATATGTTGATAAAATTATTTCTTACCGTTACATTGTGTTTGTTTTGCAATTAATTATTTTCTAAATATATCACTACACTCATATGTAAGTTTTTATTGATTAGTGAATTCTCGGCGGATATATACTCGTAGTACAAATCTTGCGCAAACCGATCAACTGTCAATCACGATTTATCACGACAATAGAACAATACGATGAATACCACGCTTCGTTCTGTCACCGTAGCCGACAATGTCACAGGCTTTAAATGTTGTTTGCAAATGCAGATGTATTAATATACTGAAAACATCACAAATAAACTAAAAGGACCAGTATTGTCCTTGCACTGTCGTCCTTCTCATTATCTATGCTAATATATATCTATGTATATCTATTCTAATATTATATAGAGGAAAGATTTGGATTTTTCTATTTATTTAAATAACTCAAAAACTGTTAGGCCGATATCAAAAATTCTTTCGCCATTAAAAACATACCATAACGTCCGTTATCAGTGAGTAACATAGGCTATATTTTTTATTTCACGAGGGCGAAATCGCGACTTGTGTTTATTAAAACAGAGATAGAAATACGTTTTGTCAAATTGTTTTAGTGTTAGAGTCACGGTTAGAGCTACAACTAAAGATATTTAATACATCACTAATTAGAATAACTACTTATAGATAAATGCATACAAATTCCACAGATGGTTTTAATAATGATAAAACTCACAACAAAATCATTTCAATCTCTGTAGTTGTTAATTAAATTTAGAACTACGTCTTTAATATTAAATATAAATTCTCGAAACTAACACTTAATGTAACCCTTAAAAGGAACCTCTTTGCAAAGTAAATATTTGCGCAGCTTTAGGAAACATTTGTTAACCTAACGTACATATTGCAACACTGAGCCGTACTATAATCATATGTGGTATATATGACTACTGGCAATTCTGCTATCTAAATTATAATTATGTAATCAAATAATTGTTAATGTTAATGATTTGTTTATTATTGCTTATACCGGAACGTGAAATTTATAAAAAAAAATCAACTAGACTAAAAACTACAGTCTTTTTATTCATAATTTCATTAACATAATATTTTTTTTGTTCTTTTTTTAAAAAAGCTCGTTATGGTTATAGGAACAAAGGAGCATCAAATGCAGTTAACTAAGCATGCTTTATTCAAGTGCATTTTCGCTTTTAGCAAATACCTCTTGTATATTAACATATTTGTACGCTTAGGTGTTTGTAATTTGTACACATACCTTTGTTATATAGGTCATGTTTATTGTTAAAAACCTGTTAGCATTATGTATTAGAATTCTTAAAGAGAACTACTCATTTTTCATATAGCTTCTCTGTTTTAGCTGCTAATTATATCTCAATCTATACTAATATAATAAAGCGTAAAAACACACAAAAAGCCCTACACTTACGACACGCTTTAGAGTATATATTTTTACGCTATTACACTTGGAGGGCGGGTAAAAAATTGAAAAAAAAAAACCTTTTTGTGAAAAAGGGACCATAAACTACAAGATGTCATTGAGCATTTGAATTTTGACATTCGCAATTAAAAATTTGACAAAAGCAAAAAATAAAATAGAATTAGAGACTAGAGAGCCGCATGGAACAGCTAGACTTAATAATAAAAACAATTATTTATAAGAGCTTATTTATTTCGTTTCATTCCTAGAACTCTGGTCGATTACTGTAGTGTACATTTTTTGCAATGTAACTTTATTAGTAACCGCATATTAC